GCAATGCTCTTTTACCAACTCATTTAATATAACCGCCAATATGTTGAGACTGGCGTCAATGCGATATTTAAGTTATGATACTATTTCACCTCAAAAGATTGTGGGACAGAAACTTTACCTTAAAAAAGTTGGCAAAATTATAACTTAAATCTGGAAATATAAAAAAGAAATAAGGTAATTTTTCCTTGTTTTTTAATAAGAAAAAAAAAAACTAGCTCCATATGTGTGCATTTAAAATCAACTTCCTTCACAGCACAAACCCACTTCAGTTCAATTAACATTTCTCCAAAGGACCAGCGCTGCTGCTGGAGCAGGATACTGTGCATCCATTACCGAGAGTAATGGGGAAACTTTACATTCAGTTAAAGCAGAGAAATCTCTGCGGCGCATTCACTCGGTCTTTGAAACGTATATCGAAATTGCAATTTTTTACAGAAAATCGAATTCTCCCTTTTTTCTTTAACGTTTTGTCTCCAGGGATTTTCCGCAGAAGATGGCGTCAGCGCTGTCTGAAAACCCAGCCTCTGTGATTCACTCCCTCAACCTGGCTCACAACACGCTCGACAACCAAGGTGCCGGCCTGACCTCCGTGAACCCTCTCTCTCGCTCTCTCTCTCTCTCTCTCTCCCTCCTACTGCCACCTCTGTCGGGGCACCGCTCTTTGTTCTGTCACTTTGCTGCCGCTTTTGTTCGCTCTCAAAGAATTCCAAATCAATGTCTCTCATCGCAGGAACCCCTTACTTTCTGTTCCTCTCCTCTTCTCTCTCTCTCATCTATCTCTCATGCCACGTCTCTGCGTGGTCCTCCTCTTTAGAGAAATGCTTTTCATTTTTCAGTCTCGCCCACATGGCGGCTCACAAACGGAACCTCTTTTTATACGGTTACGCCACACACACACGTACAGAAACTTACGTTTTAATTTTGTGTGCTTTAGTCAATATTGACCACGATACAGCGTTCTCCCTCCTTATGCCTTTTTCCCAGTTGTACAACAGAAAGAAACCAGTGTGTACGTGTGTTTGTATGCCGGCGCCAGGCTTTGCATGCACGGCAGTATCACTCATTAGTTAATTTTCTGTACGCCAGTCTGACACATCTCACTTCCACTCGCTTCAATAATTTCTTTGTGCTCACCCATGCCACCCCGTGTGTGTGTATTGACAGTGTGCAGACTTACTTCATCGTGACACAAAAGTGCTTCAGCCTTAACCACCATCACAACAATCCCCATAATCACAGTAAAGAATGGCCTTCAGTGCTTACAATGTGGTTTTTTTTACTCCTTAAATGCTAGTAAGAGTTCTTTACACACACATTGCTGCCATAACCAGGAAACCAAAAAAGCATTTCATTTTCAATAAAGTTAAGTCGAGGATTCAGGGATCATTTATTGTCATTATGCAACACAGGGATTCAGTTGTAGCCCGTTTTCAACACGATAAACACAAAAACAGTAGGACATTCCTGTTGTGCAATGTAAACCGCAGCAATAAAACCATATTCTATCATATTATTATCAATATTCATGGCAGCAGTGTGTTTAATGAAATGGCTGAGCTGAAGCGAGGTGTGTTTTTATGGGTTTGTTGCTGCACCGGGCATGTGGGAGGAAGTGAGATAGTATGTTGGTGGGATGTTGTTTAGCTTTACTATACATGTGGGTATATAGCTATATGTGTGCTTTGGGGGCGATGTATTGAGAGAGGTTTTAATTTTGGCTTGGTAAGTGGTGAAGCTCTGTGTGGGCTCATAACTGTAAAAGTGGATGAGTGCAGGGCTAAGTACAAATAATTTTCATTATTGATTATGTCAGCTATTTCCTTGATTAGTTCATTCCTCGTCTGGTCTGTAAAATGTGTCCCGGAGCCCAGCGTGGCGTCTTGTTCTGTCCGACAACATTCCAAAATCTAAAGATTCACTTTAATGCAGAATACTATTTAGATTAAAAAGGACTGATGACCAATCATCAAAATAGTTGCCAATTTATTTACTGTTCATCAACTTATCAGTCAATCAAAACATAGTTTTTGTGTGATTTAAATGAGGCCTTTATCTTCTCTTCCTCTCTTTGTCTTCCCCCCCCCCCCCCCCCCTCTCCTCAAACCAGGAGTCTCCAACCTCATCCAACAAGTGTGTCGCCTCAACAAGGGACTGCGCCTCCTCAACCTCTCCAAGACCTCGCTGTCCTCCAAAGGTACGAGTGCTCCTCTCAGGCACAGCAGCCTCTAGTGGCTGACCCTGCACACAAACACTTAATGCATGTCTAATTACATTTTGGGGCTGGTGCTGAAATACAGTGTCTTGCTCAAAGACACTTCATCAGAGCGGAATCTTTCTTCTGTGAAGGTTCAAGAAACAGCCTCTCGAACCACAACCCTGCTGCTCCAAATGCGTTTTTTTTTTGGGCTAGTTTTAACTCTCATGCATGTACTGTAAGACCATCTACCAAATGATAATCAGGTCACAATCATAAGCAGTTGATCTGTTTTCCTGCGTAGGCATTAGTACAGTGTCCCAGTTCTGTTGCTTTTATCCCAGACAACACAGCACGAGTGTTGCAGCAGAGTCAAAGGGATCATATTGTTGCAGATGTAAATCCATACATTAATAGCTGCATTATAATATCATTTTTGGTCATTATAGCGCATGTTGTGGAATTTTTGATCTATTACTCCATTCATGGGTGATGGTGTTCTCTGAATCATCTGATTAAGCTCATATAATGGTTTGAATTCTTACAGAGTTGCAGTAGAGTAGCACACTGCCCTAAAGAAATCTAACACAGCAACTAAATATCTGGACAAAATGAAGTTAAGCTCAGGACAGGAATGATTATGCCGTGGATGGTAACATTGTTTTTGTGAGAATACAGTACGAATGGGATTTTGATTGAATAAATCACTATTTTAAGGTTGGATTAGGTTATTTTTCCTGATCGAAGCATCCGTCACACATGATTTGTTCAAAGATTGTTTGGAATATGAAAATCAGACAAGTTCTGTTTTCACAGTTTCTGGATATGATGAATGGTGTCAACAAAAACTCAACATACACCAAAGGTGTTCTGTGCTTTTAGAGGGGTCTCTGTGCAGTACACTGCACTCTGGTTTGGTGATATCTGGGCTCTTGAAGCCACTATCACATTTACTGCACCGTCTGAGTGAGTGAGTGAGTGAGTGAGTGAGTGAGTGAGAGAGAGAGAAAGAGAGGACTAGCGTAGCAAAGGAGCAGTAACTGCCATGTGACCGTCCTCCTTCATACCTCTACAGACAGTTTCCCATCGTCTTTCATTTAATTATTTACTAAGTCATTGGTTGGTCATAACTCAACTGAAGAACTGACCTGGGCTCAGATGGAGTGCGCTTCAGAGCAATGCCTCCAAAATGATGTTTTGGTGTGATTAAGCTCTATAGACAAATTACAGTTACATTTTTGTAAATAAACTGTAGTTAAAATGGACAAAAAAGCAAAAAGAACCGATTTAACCATGTTTGTAGATCCTGCGTTGGCCCTTTGTATTCTGGGAGGATTATACAAAGCAGTATCTGCTTTTTATAGGTTCTATGGGAGTATTTTGAAGGCTAAAATAACCAGCCCGAAGTGGCATAAAACAGAGGCATTACAACCTCTCTATCTGTTACCTCTCCCTCCCTCCTCTGCCTCTGTAGTGACTGCTCTCTGCCTTTGGTAAGGATGAGGAGGCGTTGAAACATAATTATTGTGTACATGCCCAACACAACAACCACGATTGTGTACTTTATCAATGGGAAAACCACACGGGGGGGGATTCCGGAGGAATGCGGTGATGGTGCTGACCTTGAATGGTGGGTGCAGGTATGACTTTGCAGGGGCTGAGCATTTTTTTTGTTGAATATTTATAGATCTCTTTGCCTCTCCCCTCTGTCTCCGAAACACCTACACACATGCCGACACAAGCTCACACACACACACACACACACACACACGTCTCCGAGATGTAATCAGACATGCAAATAGGCCCGATACATCACCCTTGCTCCCACACACTTGACATTGTCACACGGACCGGATGGCTCCTAAAAGGCTGATGGATAGATGAAGTGGGGGATTAGACGCCCTGTCTCCTCTTCCCCTCATTTCGCTCCTAATCGCTACAAATTAGGGATGAAGAGCTTAGCGCCTTGCCAGCTTCAGTAGCTTCTCTCTCCCCAAAACTTGAGAGCAGGAAAAAGTCACTTCCTACAACTGCTGTCTGTAATCGATGATGCAGCGTCGAGTGAATAGCAGAGAAGATTAACGGCGGTTGTAGACTTTTTTTATTTTTTATATATTTGTTGCCGCTGCCAGACATTTCTCCCGTGTTTCGTGTCTATATTTAATCCTCAACTTGCCACGGCGTGCTGTGCTTTGCATCAGTCTTGCAGGGTGAGGATTTTAATGAGGGGTTCCATTGGGCCTGGGGGTGTAATTGTGTTGTGATCTGATTTGAGAGAGTGATTTTCTTTTGTTTTGGCTTTCAGGGTCCACTTGGATGCTGGGAAAAAAAGTTGCTGGCTTCCCCAAAAGCTTATTTGATACTAACCTGCCAACCTGCCGAGCTCACTAGTCTCTGCTCAATTATTTTTTTCCCCCACACAGCTTGCCCATCCTCTTTCATTATGGAGTTTTGTATTCATTAGTTGCTAATAAGTTAAGTCCAGAGCTTTAAATTGGCCCAGTGGGGGAAAAAAAAAGATGATTGTAAGATTATTAAATGACTCGAAGATGCATTTATCCGAACTCCTGATCCCTACCTCTCCATTTCTTCCCTCCCCCCCCCCCCCCTCCGTTAGGTGTGGTTACTCTGTCCCAGGCGTTGTGTTCAAGTGACGACTACTCCAATTCTCTGCTGCATCTGGATCTCAGCAAAAACCCCGGGGTTCTGTCCGGAGAAGACGCCACGGTGAGGGACACACACAGGAATAATTATTATACTAAGTGTGTCTTCATCCACCTGTTTAATGCACATTTCTGGTTTCCGTGAAACAGAACTTGGAGTGAATATGCCGGATATTCGATAAAATAATTCATGACGTACATTTAAAAAAAAAAAAGAAAAAAAGAAGTGAAATTTGCTTGAGCTGAACCATCAGTTCTGTGTGGAGCGATGAGGAGACTGTAACCTTCCTCTCATGAATATGTGGACCGAACAGAAATACTACACATCTACGTATTTCCATCATGGCTGTATTTGAGGTTTGACTGACGCTCTTCTGCAGTAGTTTAATGGCACACGACAGACGAATTTACACCACCAGGACGGACACATTCGTAGTTTGTGCATAAAACCAGTGGACAGAAACATTTAGATGGAAAGCTGAGCGCTGTTTTTCAACAATTAAATCATGGTTGAATTTAATGTGGCAACAGAAAAATACCGTTTAATGTCAAATTGAAAACCGATTAGTACAAAGTAATCTAAATGAATAACAAATATAAAAAATACATGGCTGCACAGGTATTGACCCCATTCTTCTTTGCCAAACTTGAGCTCTGTCGTGTTGCACAGGGATTGTGACCGAATGGCATTTTCAAATCCGGCCACAAATTCTGGATTGGATCAAACTGTCGACTCAGCCACTCCAGGACATTGAATTTGTTGTTTTTACCTGTGGAGCTTTTGCTTTACGCTTGTTTGCTGGGAAAAACATTTCTTTTTTTAAAGCCTGCATCAGGTTTTTGTTCTTTCCTGCATTCATTTTACCCTCACAAGCCTTTCTGGACCTCCTGCAGAGAAGTGTCCCCACAGCATGATGCTTCCCACTGGGGATGCTGCAGTGTGTTTATGATGATATGATGGGTAAAAAGCTCTTATGCGACCACAGAAGCCCCATTCCAGCTGACTTCAGTCTCCCACCTGCCTTCTGACAAACCGCCTAGATTTCGTGAGTTTTTTTTCCCCAGGGTGCTTTTCTCTTTGCCACCGTAAAGCTGCGGCAGGTGAAGCACCGTGGCTACCTGTTGGTGTCTGCACAGTCTCTCCAATCGGTGCCGCTAAAGACTGGAGCTCCTTCAGACCCTTTCTGTACACTTAAACTGTTTTTGAGGACATCCTACTCCAGGCAGATTCTCAGCTGTGCCATGAGCCTTCTGCTTCTTAATGATTGCTTTAACTGTCCTTCAAGGGATGTTCAGGGGCTGAATTTCTGTCTGTAATTCATAGGGCTGCACCGACTAGTTCAAAGCTTCGAAGCTTCATTCTTATATTTTATTTGCATGTCTAATCATTCTGTTTAAACCCAGTATTTCTTCACAGTTGCAGAAAACGATTAAGGTGAAGTGGCCTTTTAACTTTTTTTGAGCACTAACACAAGAGCGCTTCGTGTGCAGCCGCTCCGAGCGCTTCTTTTTTGAAAATCTTTGAACTTTTCTTCCAAGAATCTTTGAGCGCTCCTCAGGGCCTTCCTGCCAGAAGACACCGCTATATGGACTATCAGCATTAGCTTTATACCATGTGTAGGATCGTTTCCGACTTGTGCAATCCAAATATTTCCAATATCTCCAGAGCATGGTTAAGTCCAAAAGTCAGAATTTATTGAAAACGGATAGACTTCCCAAATCCACCACATGTTTTTATCTCACAAAGTCTCTGGCTTCAGTCCTTATTTATTGGTGTAAAACAACCTTTTCACTGAGAAAGGATTTGGTCTCCTACTTGCCGCACGCACCTGTATTAACAGGCCAGTCTAGCCGCAATCTAATAGGACCATCAATTTAAAATATACAACCACAATAACAAAAACTTTTTCCATTTTGTTCAGGGTGATGATGTCATAGAATATGACAAAAGACGTTCAAAGCTTCATTTGAAAACCTCAATATTAGTTTTGAATATATATGATGTTTGATACAGTCCTGGTAATTCATCCTGGATCTCCCTTTGACGTGAAAGAGCCAAAACAGCCACATTAAATCGACTCTGCTGCAAAACATGAAAACACCCACAAGGGTCGATGAATATGTTTTTTTTATAAGCACTGTATACACACGTATGTATGTATATGTTTCACATTCATCCTGTTCTTCCCGTGCAGAACCTCTACCTGTTCCTGGCCCAGCCCAACTGCCTGGTCCACTTGGACCTGTCTGGGACAGACTGCACCGTGGACTCGGTTTGTACTCATTGTCTCTGTGACGGTCACTATCCCACCCATCCCCGTCTGATCTCATGTCTTGGATGGGATTCAGGCCAGGAAACAGAAGGGGGGGTAGCGTCCTGAATATGAATGGCCCACCACACAAAAACAATGTTACCTCAGTAGACTCCCAGTCTGTCTTAGAGCTCATCTGTGCGTAATGTCTTGGGTGGTGGTAAGAGCTCTTAGATGGCTCTACAATAGAAATGTATAGCCTCTTGTGATGCATTGTATGACGAGCACACAGGAGCCTTTGGTTCATGCGTTTGTTCACATCTTTGTCCCTTCAGAAGGATGACTTTGTCTGTGTTGTTGGTGTGTCTGCAGCCATACTAACTGCTGAGAGGATGACAGAGCTTTCTCTCTCAAAGAATTTAGTCACCGCGCTTGAATTTTGTCTGCCCCTGCTGGTTACCGCTGAGATGGCAGTTCTTTCCTGTTCAGTGTTAATATACAAGACTCGGTGGAAATATGTTGAAAGTTACAACCAAGCACACAAGGTTTCTTTTAGTGTCTGTGTCCCCTCTGGAAGATGTAGAGGTTTGTGAATAGTGCTGGCCGAATAGGGGAGGTCACGTTCCGTGTTAATGTCCCGTCGCTCTGCTGCTTTGTCAGTGCTGCATTGCTGCTGACAGGATCACCTGCGATAGAACAGACATAAATATCTTATTTCATTGTGTTCCCTGCTGCTGAGAGGTCAGCTAGAGAGCTACCGAGACTTGTGCTGTAGCTCTCCGACGCTCAGCAGGACTGCTGCTTGCTGACATGGAGGAACTCCACACTCGCCACATCGCCGTGATGCGTACTCATATCACAAATCAAGCGTACTTGCTAGTCTGCAGGTTTTAGACCGACACTTTCACCTGCTTGATTTAACCCCATTGCTGATTCAGTACAGTGTTCCTCTCAGTGGTGGGCTGCAACTTAAGAACATTTACTCCAGTAGTGTACTTAAGTCTAGCTTTGAGGTACTTGTACTTTACTATTTCCATATCATCCTTGTACTCCACTATATTTTAGAGGGACATTTTGCACTTTTTACTCTAACACATACTGTATATCCACAGCTGTAGTTTCTACTTGCCATATTTAAATTATTTAATACAAAATATATAATTGTGTGCTAACTTCAGTGACAAAGACGATTTTGTTTCCTGTGACCGCCTCACAATAAAAGCCACCCTGTGTTTCGTCAGGTGCTGGGAGCTAGCAGCAGCAGTAGGAAATCTCCTGTTAGCATTAGCAGCACTCTGCTACAGCTCTTACACAGCTGTAGCAGAGTGAACAGTGAAACAGTGAGGCTGATATCGCTTAGATGAAATTACAATCAGTAATGTGGGATTACATGCATCATATGTGAAGGAAATGTTGATCCAGCATGGAAATGGCGGACTCCGCCACTTACAAGACAACTACTATATAAAGAGGTAATTATAGAATGTAAATCATAAAATAGTATAAAAAACATGGTGCTTTAAAGGTGCAGCCAGAAGTTTTCATACACGGCCACACAACACAATTCCAGCCAATCAGCAACAGGCGTTTGTGCTTGTTTACAGGACAACGGAAAAGGCAACATATGTAAGAAGAGAGGGGGACGGTAAATATCATCAATCTTTCTCCAGAATTGTCAACTCCACCTTAAGTTAAGGATCCGAATACTTCTTATACTTACTTTTACCACAATGCGTTGCACTTTACTGCGCGTGTGTTTGCTTTCTTTCCTCGCTGCACTTCACTCGAGCAGTTTTAAACCCCAAGGAGCTGGCAGCTTGTCAGGCAGGAATCAGTTTCAGGAGGATGTAGTCCACCCCGTGAAACTAATCCTCCTTCCTCCCCGTAAATGTGGGCCATCAATTCTGTATTGAATTATGTGCATGAGTGGAAGTCCTTGCATCTATTCTGCTTTCTTTGCAAGTTCTCGAACTTAGTCTCCCCTTATTTCTCCTTTAAAAAATCCCCTTGAGACTGAAGGAGTGCTCTCTGTGATGGCTGCTTCATGACCTGCTTTGTTAATTGTCGTTCATCCTTTTAGAGAGGAACTGTCTGCGGGAGAATCTGTCTTTTTTAGTGTTGGGCTGTTGGATTGAATTATTAATAAGCTCCTGTTTTTAATCTGCGTTGATGTACCGACACCGGTCGATTAGTCAATTTCCGTGATGGATCACACTGCCAGGGGGGGGGGAAATGGATTTGTTCCGATAGTTTAAGCTCTCACAAGCGGTGAGATGCTGCTAAAAGTCTTGCAAGAAATTGGTTTTTGATGCCGATCATATTTGCCTAGAGCTCTCTCCTGTCCAGCAAACGCGCATATCTCATCTTTATTTCAAGATTAAATGGATCACAGTCAGATTCCTGTATATTCAATTTTTGGTGCTTTGCAGAAGCTTGTAGTTTAACATCGAGCCATATCTTCATAAGACGAGAGCTTGATTGGATATGCACTTTGATGGAAGGTAGGTGGATGGCTGTAGAGCTGCATGATGTCACATTGATCTTATAACAAGGGGACATTTGATTGACACGGCACAATTCATTTCCTATGCAGGTTTTCATTCATTTTATTTATTTAGCTGGTTTGGTTTCAGCTTGATTCTGATTCAGTGTAATAGAATTACTCGTGTTATTACCCGTTTGGTCGCACTGTCGGGAATTGGTAGACTTTCTCTGACTGATGAGCGCTTCTCGTACACACTTTGAAAGATTGGTGGAAACACAGCGTCTGCTGTTCGTTCAGCTGCTAGAGCTAAAGGGCATTGACCCTCCCCTCTCTCCCCAAATTTCAGATTTGTGATATTGGGCTATAAAATTATAATGGAATTGAGTAAAAGCTACTTTCCACCAGTGTACACAGCTAATCCCAAAGTGTAAGCATCAAGTCGATGACTCCCCGATCCAAATCCTGTGATCCTCCGGTTCTCCTCAGATCCTCTTCTTCTTCTCTTTTAGTCGTTCCACAGAGCCGAGTGGAACGACTTTCACCTCAGATGGTTCCATGTTCCTTGTCTGTCACACTCTGTAGATGCTTAATACGTGTGTGTGTGTGTGTGTGTGTGTGTGTGTGTGTGTGTGTGTGTGTG